AACTATTGCAAGATACTGCTGAGCCGGGAAAACCTAGGAAAAGGCATGGTATTTTGTATGATATTGGGTGCACTTTAGAGAAAAGCATTATCAGGGTACTGAGTATATATTATCTATACCTCCCATACCACCAACCCCCACTGATATGTTACGAATTGTAGAATAAGATCTTTCAAGCCCAATGTGCAGAGCGAGGACTGAAGTTTGGCACCAGTGCGTTCCATGCCTTTGTTCATGAGTGGGGTTGTCAGCTGTGTTACAACCCACGCATGAACAAAGGCTGGGGTCGATCAGATGGCGAAGGGTTAGAAAGAATCTGGTCTTTCCTCTCTCCACTGGTCAGCCCACTACGATACTCAACAAAGCAGCATCGCCTTGATGCTCTGCATTTAAAAGCGACTCATCGAAATGTAGTCACACGCACCAATGCAGGTCAGCTACTTTTCATTACAATAAAGTGGCAGAAAAGGGAATCATGGACTGATATTGAAACAGTTCGAGCCTCTTGGATCAAAGTCAAAGATTCTGAACGTCTTTCCAACCAAGCAAACAAGACACTGGAACGTCTTGTAACACAGAAACCTACCTACACTCGCGAATATTTTGCTACTCAGTGGGAACGACAAAAGACGTGTCAGCTAGAAGCCATATCAAGTGTCACTTCGAAGCAGTTGGAGGAAAAGCTGGTAGAGCTACTAGACCAAGAAGAGAAGTTGAAAGAGGCTCAGTGAGTTTCCTTTTTATATTTTTCGTGTGAAAAAAATAACAAACTGAGAGACCCAATGTTCAATGACAATAGCACTGAACTAAAACGTCTACAGAGGAAGCATCGTAATAATTGGACTGAATCTGAAGTGTTAGATATAACCACACTCCCAGGTTCAATTGTTGCCATGGAGACAGCTGCACAGAAAGTGCGTGAAGAACTAGGAGATCCTGAATTCCGTCAGATACGGCAGAACACAAGTTTGTATTTTGTTTCAATAAGACAAGGTCTTGTAATAATTTTTGAATGGACTTCACAGCGGCGAAGGGTACAGCCCTCATACGGGTCCGGCTTGCAAAGATGCAACTTTATGAGGCCAAAGTTGGCATTGTCGAGGCACAGAAAAGATGGGATAAATGTGGTTTGGGTATGTCACTCGTCATCCATCAAGCAACACAATCCAATTCTGAAGACGATGTATTTTTACTACCTATAGGTACGTCGGTCCAGCAGAGCTTGAAGACTTTGATGACAAAGAAACAACTCATGTTCAGGCGAAAATGGACCACCTATAATGATCAAGCCAATCAATATAATGCGATCCGGCCTGTGAGCCATCTCCCCTGTCCCACTTTGGAAGAGGCAAAAGCACTACCCTTTGAGGATTCCTTTTGGAATGTTGGCGCTCTATCACATCCTTGCGAGATGTGGGCTAATGATCCTGGGACCAAGGAAGGTATTCAAGCGTACTTACTGGAAAGGAGCTGTTTGGAAGAGCTTCGGTGTATCGGTCGTGAATCACAGCAAATGACCCTGGCAGCCCTAAGAACAGAGGAGCAGCTTCAAGATCTGCTGAGTTTATGTAATAGTGGTAAGTCATTGTACTTTGACATCATCCGTCTGGCTCAAATGACCATCAATGTCAGTTGACAATGTGGTTGTTAGAGTGGGATCCAGATAACGGTGGGAAGGCCCTGATTGAAATGGTTCAACCGGGGCAGCGCATATCAAAAGACATTTGGGAAGATTGTATTGATGTCTTGAAGGCATTCCACAAGAATACACTGGAACATCATTGCCAAACCTGGATGTCCTGGAACACATCTTTGGTATCCCTCCTGCGACACACCATCAAGTACACTCCAGCACAAGTCGAGGATTTAGAAATGATAGTAGTACCCTGGGGAGCGCTCATTGAGAGGACCCGAACCACTTGGTCCTTGCTTGTCAACATGAGTAGTTTTGAAGCTTCGGGTCTTGATGACCTGGATGTGACCGAGCAGAATCTGCTTATTGGGGAGGAAGTTGGAGAAGATCATGATATCATGCTGGAGCCTGAGGAGCCTGATGATATTGAAGTGGATGATTGGTAAAGTATAACTTCTTGTAATTGTTTTCATCAAACCAAGGGTGGCTCATTTGCAGTTGGGGTGAATATGTGGAATTGCAATGTATTGTGATGTCTGGACGAGATTGTGAACTACATACCAAGGTCCCGATTGGTTGTGAAGTTGAGATTTAGATGGTTCACAAAAGTTGATAATATGTAGTTCACAATATTATGTCATACCTATGATATGTCTTGTGCCTTTTAAGCAACCCTTTGTGATCTACATCACAAGTTCA